GGTCCAGGCCTCTCGCCTCCACCCCAAACCGAGTGAGCTGTTTCCGTCTCCACACCTTTGCCCTCTCTCTCCCCTTTTCTGGAGCGCCCTTTACTCTTATTTCTTTCTACTTTTCCCCCCAGATTCCACTCTTTTTTTTTTTTTATGGTGGTCACATTTTATTTATTTATTTATTTATTACAAATAGTTTACTGTCAAGTTGGTTTTCATATAACACCCAGTCCACTCCTTTTTTTAAGGTTCAATGAGTAGAAGTCTGCTTTCCTCAGAAACTCCAAGGCCACACCCTCACTGCTTGCAATCTGAACCCCATGACCGCATCCTAAGGTCCTTCTTCCCCTCCAGTCTCCCACACCACTGTTGGGCTATCTTTTTTTTTTTTTTTTTTTTTTACTGTTTTATTGATTTTCGAGAGAGAGATTGAGCGTGAGCAGGAGGGGGACAGAGAGAGAGAGGGGACAGAGGTGGGGCTCGAACTCACGGACCGTGAGATCATGATGTGAGCCGCAGTCGGACACAACAGATGGAGCCACCCAGGCGCCCCTGCCGTCGGGCTAACTTGATCTAACGCCACTTTCTGTACATCAGAACCGCCCTCCCCAGCGGTCAGTGCTGCGCTGCTAGATGTTAACAACCTGCTCTGGAGAGAGGGACACCTCGGTCAGCAAACAACATCTGCCAATTTCCATGGTGCGAACACTTCACGGCCAATTCCAAGCCGCCCGGAAGACATTAATGAACATGCAGTTAGGAAGAGATGGGCACAATTCGTTCTCACAACCCTGTACACACAGCCTCCAGCACATCGTTGGTTCGCATCCCAAACCTCAGCGGTGTTGGGGCTCCTGGGGGGCTCAGTGGGTTAAGCTTCCGACTTGGGCTCAGGTCATGATCTTATGGCTTGTGAGTTCAAGCCCCGCATCGGGCTCTGTGCTGACAGCTCAGAGCCTGGAGCCTTCTTCGGATTCTGTGTCTCCCTCTCTCTGTCCCTAACCCATTGGTGCTCTGTCCTGGTCTCTCTAAAAAATATTTTAAAAATTAAAATAAATAAATAAACATTTAAAAAACTTAAAAAAAAAACCCACAAAAATCCCACTGGTGTTCCTTAAAGTATTTTTCATACCATTAATGCAACTCTTCTGCATTTCAAAAACTATCCCAAAATAGGTTTAGAAAGTCAACCAGAAGAGATACAAACTTGCTTGGCAAACTTTTCTCTCAGTAGAACTCTAAACTCTTACCCTCCGGGAAAGAAATGAGAAAACAATGAATCAGATGGATTGTGAGGACAGTATCCAAAGGCATTGAAAATCTATAGATGGGTAGCTGGGGAGTTCTTCACGAATATCTGAATTTTAATCTCCGTGAGTGGGTGTAACCACAGAAGGTGGGGAAGAAATGCCATTTTAAGATAGAATCTGATCAAGTGCATTTGAATCAGTTCTCAAGAAAGAAAGTTCTATGTGACCTAAAGGGGGTTGCTTGGTATGTAAATCATTAAAAAAAAAAAAAGCCAGAGAGGTTCTCTGATGATTTTCAGGGGAGTTTTGATCCAAGATTGCCGCTCTTCCAGGATTCTTTTATACGTATGTATGTATGTAGATATATATGTGTGTATATATGTATTTATTTATTTTGAGAAAGAAAGTGAGCTGAGGAGGGACAGAGAGAAAGAGAGAGAGAGACAGAATGCAAAGCAGGTTCTAGGCCCTGAGCTGTCAGCACAGAGCCCAACGCGGGCCTTGAACCTGTGATTTGTGAGATCATGACCTGAGCCAAAGTCGGACGCCCAACAGACTGAGCCACCTGGATGCCCCTCCACTTACATTTTCTTATAGAATAGAAAGAAGAGACTGACCAGCCAAAATAGGCGTTCTGTTGCCCTTCACCTTTTCAATTCATTTATAGGACAAGTCGATGTTACCATGTTCTGGTCAATCTGTTGAGTCTGGTTGGCTCAAGCCAGGTGTACCTTTGCTCAACATTAAATTCATATTGATAGGGACACGTGGGTGGCCCAGTCGCTTGAGCGTCAGACTCTGGCTCAGGGCATGATCCCGAGGTTCATGAGTTCGAGTCCCAAATCAGGTTCTGTGCTGACAGCTCAGAGCCTGGAGCCTGCTTCACATTCTGTGTCTCCCTCTCTCTCTGCCCCCCCGCCCCTTGCGCTGTCTCTCTAATAAAAGATTTAAAATTTTTTGAAAAAATAATAAATATCGATAGTGTACCGTGTATTTGCCAGGCACGATGCTAGGAGCTGAGAACACAGCGATGAACAAAGCAGACAGGTTCCCAACCCGACACAGGTTATGTTCCAGTGGAGAAAGCCAGGCGTTAGTAGAGCAATTATACAAATAAAGGGACGTGGACAGTGTGTGACAGGCTATGAGGTCTGTGGTGAGAGCATGAACATGAGAAGCCGACTCAGTCTGGTAGCTGTGGAAAGATGTCCCTCAAGAAGTGACTTGACTGGGCACATGAGCTGGGAGGGCTTCCCAAGGTGACGACTCTGCCCCCGGGCTGCGGGGACCCCATACACGCAACGCTACAGTGCTTCTCCCGGATGCTAGGTACCTCATCACCCTGCACACTATTCAGTACTTTGCCTCTTTCTTCCTCTGAGTGTGGAGAACTCCGTCTTTCGTCAAGATTATCTGCGCCTGGGTGGTTCCGTCCATTAAGCGTCCACCCCTTGGTTCTGGCTCAGGTCATGATTCCACGGTTCCAGGAGTTCGAGCCCCACATCGGGCTCTGCCCTGGCAGCACAGAGCCGGCTTGGGATTCTCTCTCTCTGCCCGCACCCCTCCGCCCCCCCCCGCACAGTCTCTGTCTCTCTCAAAATAAATAGATGAACTTAAGAAACAAATGTAACATTACCTGTGCCTTCTTTGAGTTTGGAAGGAAGTTGGTGAGGGTTGTCATTATTCAGTGCCCTTGTCATGTCAGCGAGTTTGTGTCTTAGGTCAGTGAGGACACTTCGGCGATGTCTCAGGGAAATGAACCAATTAAGACTGGCACATCACACACACACACGGCGTCCTGTCACACAGGACGACAGCACTTTTTTTTTTAAAGTAATAACTTGATTGAGAGATAATTCACATACCGTCCACCTCAATGACTTACAGTGTGCCATTCAGTGTTTTTTAATATCTGAAGGATGTGACCACAGCTCCGGTCGGTGTTAGAACCTTTTCTTCAGCACAACAGTCATTCTCTGCCCCTTCCCCGTTCTCATCAGCAGACCCTCTCCGGCTCCCCACTTCCCTCTAACCTGTCAACACTAGGCGTCTCCTAATCTATTTCCCATGGATGGATTTGCCTATTCTGGAAACGGCATGTAAATGGAACTATATACTACGTGGTCTTTTGCGACTCACTTTCATTTGACACGTTTCAAGGTTAATCCACGTTGTAGCCTTTACCCAGTACTCCATCCCTTCTTATTGCCGGGTAATATTTCGTTGTGCGGATATGCCGTATTTCATGTACCCGGACATCGGCGTAGGGCTCGGGGAGTTTCCGCGTTGGGGCTATTATGACTAACGCTGCTCTGAACATTCCCGTGCAAGTGTTCGAAACCGAGGTGAAATTCACGGAACATGAAACCATTTTTACACGAATGAAGCGCCATTCAGGGCACTCACAGTGTTGCATATCCACCTTTACCTAATTCCAAGGCGTTTTGTCCTCCTAAATACCTCCCCCCCCCCCGCCCCTTAACCCCACTCCCGGCTCCCCTTACCCCCCAGCACCTGGCAACCAATCTACTTTCTGGTTGTGGGATTCACCTATTCTAGATAGTTCTTATCACTCAACTCATAGGATATGTGACCTTCCTGCCTGGCCGTGTTCACTTGGCCTGATGGTTTTGAAGTTCATCTAGTGGAAGCAGCTATCGGTACGCCATTCCTTCTTTTGTGATCGAATACTATTCCACTACGTTTATACACACACCACACTTTCTCCGTCTTTTGGTGGATATTTGGGGTTATTCCTACCTTTCGGTTACTGTAAATAACGCTGCTGTGAATATCTTCCTGCAAAGATTCGAGTAGCTGTTTTTTAACGGCTCGGGGCGTACACCTAGCAGGGGAGTCGTTGGGCCATGTGGACAACCCATCTTGGAGAAGAGCAGGTGGCTTTCAACAATGCGCCCAGGCCGTTGGTGTGTGCGCGTGTGTGTGTGTGTGTTGGGTGTTGCTTTTTACAAAGGAAAAGGCGGACATTTCAGAAAGCTGGGTGGCGGGAGCGGGGAGTCCTGGCGGGACCCGCTACACTAACGTATTCCCTCCAGCCGGCGCCCGCGGCGCCCGTGTCCCACGTCACGGGGTCCTAAGCCAAAACAAGAACCACATGCCCGCCTGGCTTAGGGCAAAGCGGGTGGCCCCGAGCGCAGGGCTGGCGAGCTAGAAACTGCAAGACGACCACGGAGCTGCGGGAAACGCAGCCGCCTTCCTCCCTAAGAGGAGGGCCCGGGAAGTACACTGCGAGGCGGACTGTCCCCTGCTCCGCGGTCGCCTTCCACGACTTGGGAGAGCGTCAGGGAGCCGTAACACGCCACTCGGCCTCAGAGCGTTTTCCCGGGGTGCCGGCGGACTACTGCCTGGGGGGCAGCGGGGGGGCCGGGCTGCGGGACACACGCCTTCCTCGCAAAGCCGCCTAGAACTCGGAGGTACCCCCGGCGAGCCCCGGCCGCGGGGCATCGACAAGATGGTGGCCGCGCCCCGGCCGCTCTAGCTCCCGGGCGAAACTCTATGGCAGGGCCGAGGCGGGGAGGTGAAGCTGAGATGGGCGGTAACCCGACCACACTAGCGCGCTAGGAAGCAGGAGCGGAAAGAGCTCTCGCGCGCATGTGTGGACCGGGGCTGGGGGGATGGGCTTTGAGACGAGGGGCCCACCCGGCAGTGCAAGTTTTCTGAAACGTGTGAGTCGTTTAAGTCCAGTTAGAGCCGAGGTGGGGCGTTCCCAAGACGCATGCGTCCTGGCCGAGCCCAGCGCTAGAGTGGCGTGGTCTTTTCAACGCCCGGCGTACAGACGACGTCTGAGGTGGAAGGGGCGGTCAGGATTCCCAACACGCATGCGCCCTGAGGCCGAGGCGTTTCCTTCAGAGGGTGTGGAGTGCAGGGCTCTTTACTGCGCAGGCGCGAGTCCTGTCCGGTAGGGCTAGTGGTCTTTCACGGGAAGGGAAGAGGAGGTTGAAGGGCTTGAAAAACCGGGTGCGCCTGCGCACTGCCTACTGGTGGGAAGAGCTCTGGGTTGGGGAGGGGCGGGGTCACGCGTACGCGTCATTGGATGGGTAGGTGGGAGGGAGGGTGGAGATCGGGGAGGGTCTGTGCGCTTGCGCAGTGCGGGGGTGGAGGGCGGAGGGGATAGATAGCACGCTTGCGCGGCTGTCACAGGGCTGCTTGGTTGGTCAGTGGGGAGTCGGCGCCTGCGTACTAAGACCCGTGTGCAGCAGCGGCGGCGGCGGTAGAGGCGGCGGCGGCGGCGGCGGCAGCGGGCTCGGAGGCAGCGGTTGGGCTCGCGGCGAGCGGACGGGGTCGAGTCAGTGCGTTCGCGCGAGGTGAGAGCGGGCAGGGCGCGCGTGCGCGGGACCGCGGCCGGGGCCGGGGAGTGGAGATGGAACTGCGCGAGGGTCGGGGAGGGGGCAGAGGGGAGCGGCGGCGGCCGCCCCGCACAGGGTTCGGCCCGCGAGCGGCGCGAGGTGCGGAGAGGCGCGGGCGCGCGCCCCGGTTGGCGCGCGGGGTGACGGTTGGGGCCGGCCGGGTGACGTTGGAGCGACGCAGGGCGGGGGACGGCGAGCCGCGAGGCCGCCACGCGGGAGAGGCCGCCGGGCGGCCACGCCGGGGCGAGGGCCGGGGGTCAGATCGGCCCGCCGGGGCCAGGGTACCTAGGCCGTTGAGAACCGGGCGCCGCGCGGCCACGTGAGGTGGGGGAGGGGGCTGTTTGGTGAGAGGGCATGTTGGGGGGGGGCCGGCGGGGGGGGGGAGGGGAGGCGGCGTGGCTCCGGTCTGGCGCGGCCTTTGAGGAGGGGGTGGCGGCGGCACCGGAAGTGTCCCCTACCGGAGGCTGCCCTCGGGGTCGGAGGCCGCATGGCCGAACGTGGACGGGGGCCGCATGGCAGCGCGGGGACCCCTCCCCCCGGATCCCGGCCACCGGAAGCCCCGGGAGGCCACATGGTGGGCGGGAGCCGGCAACCCCCAGCGCGGAGAGAGGTGGTCCTCGCGGGCGCCCAGGGTAGCTTGGAATTTTGGGGAGGGGGTGAAGGCCGAGGCCCGCAGCCCGATCGCCCCGGAGAGCCCGCTGCGGGCATATGTTAGCGTGCCGCCACCCCACGGGCCCCTGGGGCGCTCCCCCCGACTCCCCTGGGAAGTGAGGCGGCCCGCCAGGTGCGAGCAGCGCTCTGCGGTGCTGGGCGGCCGGAGAGACGGGGAGACCGCGGGCGATTGGACGGGCGCCCGGCTCTTTTCGGCCGGACCGACAGCGCCTTAAAGTCCCGGGCAGAGGAGCTCCCCGCTGTGATAGGTGCTCTTCACCTTGTCACAGCCTTCCCCCGTGTGACCGGTTTGCGGGCTCCCGCTTTCGGAGCCCCGGCTCCGCCGGCCTAACAGAACTTCTGCTACTCACTCCTCCCAGCCTTTTGCTTTCATTTTATTGTCATTCACCGCTGCCCACTCCTCCACTTTCCGCTGAGCGCACAGGCCCGGCCTGAAAAGCCGACAGTACCGGTGCATTCTGGGAAAAGGGGGAGGGCCCTCGAGGAGAGGCCGGGTTCCCGGGTTCCCTTTGGGAAACGAGATGGAGGTGTTTGGCAGGGGAAGAAGTTAGAGAGCGACTTTACTTTCTCTCCCTCGCCTGTGTCTACGAGTGCCTGGTGGAGAGGCGGGAATCCCCCACAGAGGCCTTGTGGTTTCCTGTCCCAGTGACTGGCGCGTGTGTGGATGGGGTGGGGGGTGTAACAGAGACGGGTGGGGCCCCGTCCTCCGGTCTCCACCCTCCCCTCTCGCCCCTACGGTAGCCCCGCCCTTCTGCTGGCTCCCGGCTGCTCACCTAATTATAGCCCTGGTTCTGAGTGGGGAAGGGGGGTGGTTGGTTTCAGCAGCGAGTTACACCTGAGTTCCCCCCCTTCAGGAATTAGGCCTTTGCCCATCTCTGAGATTGGGCACCCGAACTCCCCAGAGCCTTCTGTTCCCAGGCCACCCCTTTAGCTTTCGGTTGGGCTAGGGGTCCAGCTCGTGCCCCCCCGCCCCCCCGCCACCCCATCTTTGGTGCTTGTGGTCCCAACTCAGCATTTCACCTGGGCACTTGTCTTGTGGGTGGGTGTCGGGGGAGGGCCAGGGAAACTGAGGCCTGGTTTCCAGAGAGGAGTGGGAGGGACGTCGACCCTCACCTTTCCTGACCCCACTTCTCTTTTGGGCTCTAGTTGGAATCGAAGCCTCTTAAAATGGCAGATGACTTGGACTTCGAGACGGGAGACGCAGGGGCCTCCGCCACCTTCCCGATGCAGTGCTCAGCGTTACGTAAGAACGGCTTTGTGGTGCTCAAGGGCCGGCCCTGCAAGATCGTGGAGATGTCTACCTCCAAGACCGGCAAGCACGGCCACGCCAAGGTTAGAGCTGGGCCTCCGCTGCTCGCCTTCCTCCCGCTTCCCTGACCCGAGGGGTTCCCGGCAGCAAGCCGCCCGCCGACTGGCCCCTGTCCCTTCCCGGGGCTCTTTCCTCACCCCCAGTTTCTTGTGTGATGCTCCACCCTGGCTGCCCCCCACCGCCTTCCCTCCCCTCCTGTGCCCGGCCCCGCCCCACCCACACATGAGTCCCTGACTTCCCTCGGTGGTCCCCTCGGCTCCTTCCTTCTGGCTTTTGCTGGTCTCTTGCCTGGAGATGTAGTTCCCAGGCTTTGTCCGGTCCTGCTACAGAGCAGCCTTCCCTGCAGGGGCCTGTGAGCTTCCAGGTCTCCCCCTGCTCCTTAGCCCTGCGGTCCGATGGGCGTCACACTGTCTCCTCCACCTGCTCCTCTCCCGGGGCCACGAGCCGCCACCTTGCTCTGTTGGAGCGGGACGTCCTCGCTGGTGCGGCTCCGGTTCCCTGCCCTCCCCAAACTCGGCCTGTCCCTCCTCGCTGGAGTGACGGCTCTGTCCCTGGCTGGCGTGTCTTCTGTTGGCTCAGCGGTCATCCTGGGTCGCCCCCTGACTCCGCCATCCTTGTCTCTGTACTTCTGTTGTTTCCTTGTTCTCTTTGCATAATTTCCTTTCCCCAAAGCCTTTTCTTCTCTGCTCTCTTCCTTTCTCGCTGTTTCCCAAGTTCGCTTTTTATGCTGATGTCCACGCGCTCTTCCAGATGCTTTGCCAGGGGTCCTCCCAGCCCCCTGGGCTCATCGGTCGGTGTGGTGGTGGCTCAGGGCGGCCGGCTGCTCAGGGCCTCGCCTCCTGTTTCCCCTTGTGCTGTCCAGCCCGACGTCATGGGGAGTCTTCCTGCCTCCCGTTCTCGCTAAAGGCTTTAGTGCCTCTTCCTTGGGTCGGTTGTGTCGATGGGTTCCCCTCCACGCCCCCAATCTTTTGCCCTAAGTGCCCTGTCTCGCTGCCCTCCCCAGGCAGGGGCGCCTCGGGCCCCCCCCCCCCCCCCCCCCCCCCCCCCCCGTCTTAGAGCTTGTTGGGTTTCCTTTCATGTGATGCACACGCGCAGGTCCACCTGGTTGGTATTGACATCTTCACTGGCAAGAAATACGAGGACATCTGCCCGTCAACTCATAACATGGACGTCCCCAACATCAAGAGGAATGACTTCCAGGTACGTAGGTGGGTTAGCGGTTCGGCGGCGGCCATAGACTGACCCACACGAGAGGGGAATGGCCGGAGGAGGGGGTCTGGTATGAGAGGTCTGTCACCCTGGTTTGTCCCAGACCCTTTATCCTCTGCCTGCTTGGGCCAACCTGCAGCTTCCTTCCCCCTGTCCCCCAGCTGATCGGCATCCAGGATGGGTATCTATCGCTGCTCCAGGACAGCGGGGAGGTGCGAGAGGACCTTCGTCTGCCCGAGGGTGACCTCGGCAAGGAGATCGAGCAGAAGTATGACTGTGGAGAAGAGATCCTGGTATGCCCACCCCCCCCCCAGCACCCCCTCGTGCCCAACTCACTCTCCTTGCGCTTCTCCGAACTCCCATCTGTCCCCCCTGCACCCCCAGATCACGGTGCTGTCTGCCATGACAGAGGAGGCAGCTGTCGCAATCAAGGCCATGGCAAAATAACTTCTTCCAGGTGAGTGTGCCACACTGCCCCTGTCCCCAGCCCCTGCACACGCTCCTGGCCCCGACGGGGTCCTCCCTCCCCCCCCGGGGCGGGGGGAACGACTGTCCAGCCTCACCTGGTCTCTCCCCTCCCCAGGGTGGCGGCGGCGGCGGCGGCGGCAGTGATCCTCGAGCCTGCAGAGGCCCCCTCCCCCAGCCTGGCCCAGCTCCGGCCCGGCCCCTGGCTGGACTCTTCCTACACGATTTATTTGACGTTTTATTTTGGTTTCCCCCACACCCCCTCAATCTGTCGGGGAGCCCCTGCCCTTCCTCCTGCTCCCTGGGCCAGGAGTGAGTGGCCCATGGCCTTGGCGAAGCTGTCCTTCTCTTCTCCCCTCTCACTACAGCCCTGGTCAGGGAGAAGGGGGCGGGTGCTGCTTGTGCTTTAGTGGGTTTTGTTTTGTTTTTGTTTTTGTTTTTTAATTCAACCTGGAATCAGAAAGCAGTGGGTTCTGACAAATGGTCCTTCCCCACCTGTCCCTGCTCCGGCCCCTCATCCCCATGGCCCTTTATCCCAAGCACCGCCCCACAGACTGGGGACCAGCCCCCTCCCCTGCCTAGGTCTCTCCCCAAATCCCTTTAGCTGGGGAGGGAAGAGGAGGAAAGGGGAGGGGACCTGCCCCCTCCTCAGGCACCTGGGGGGGCCCTGCCCCCACGGGCTTCACCCTTTCCTGTGGGCTCTCTCCCCGACACATTTGTTAAAATCAAACCTGAATAAAACTACAAGTTTAATATGAAGGCCCCCAACTCAGTCGCTTCTTGGAATTGAATGGGCATTTGCCAATTGGAGGGTAGACTCAGAAACCGTGGAACTCGGCCATCGTCCTCGTCCCCATCTGACTTGTGTCCCTGTCCACCTACTGTGACTTGCTGTGGATCCGCCAGCCACCCCTCCCCCTGCAGCTCGCCCCGGCCTCCCTCCTCCAGGTGGCGGCCACACAGACAGCAGCAGCAGCCAGGGCCACTGGCAGGTAGATTTTATTGGACCGGGATATTCCCGGGGACCCTCACTCCCGGCTGGGGTGGGGGGAGGGGAGGCTGAAGGTAAAATTTGATCGACGGTCACTTGTGGGGTCACTTGTGGTAGAACCGTGGGTTTTGGCTGTGCTGGATGAAGGGGAGCCGAGGGCCAGGTTGGCTGGTAGCCGCAAAGCCCGACTGGTGACGAGAAGGGGGCTTGGTCAGTGAGCGCCCTCTCTCTCCGCACCCCTCCCCGCCGGGAGCGTGGGAATGTGGGGTCTGGGCTGCCCGGCTCCGTCCTTACCTTTCCTGCCGGTTGCATCTGCACGGGGAGCTGGGGAGAGGCCAACAGTCCAGGGGCTGGATGCAGGGCTTGGGGGTGCATGGGGCGCAGGGAGGACTGCGGAGAGGAGAGTCAGGACCGGAGGCAGCCGGGGGCTCCCCTCGGCTTAGCGCTTCCCCTGACCTCCCGGGACTCCATACTCACAGAGTCCGAGAAGCCGGTCTGCGGGGTGGCGTGCTCCATCTGCTTCTGCAGGGACAGGGCACCCCCCGGCTGGAGGAACCCTAGGACGGGACGGGGGGTGGGGGGCTGTGTGAGACGAGCTAGGGAGGGGGAAGGCCGGGAGGGCAGGCGTGCGGACAGGGGTGTCGTCACCTGTCTGGGTGGGCTGGAAGTGGCCGTGCACCGCGTAGGGCTGTGGCTGCGGCTGCGACAGGTACTGCACTGCCGGGAACGCCGAAGGTGCTGGGGCGGTGGGGGGGGGTCAGGCACGGCTGTCAGAACCTCCTCGGGCGGGTCCCGGCGACGTCCCCGACTTCCCCTCCCTGTCCGCCCGCCACTCACCTCGGAGCTGCTGACCGGGGCTGTAGGCTGGCTGCGTGGGGCCGTAGTGAGGCGGGGGCTGAGCCGTCCCATAGGCGCCGCCAGGGCTGCCCTGGAATTGGCCGTGCTCTGGGGTCCCCGCGAAGGCCGCCGCCGAGCCCACGTAGTGCCGGGTCTGCGGGAGGACGAGAGGGCCCGCCGCTGGGGACTCCGGGCGGCACCTCGGGGGCCTGCTGCGCCCCGCTGTCAGCGCCCCGCTGTCCGCCGCGCGGCCGAGTGACGACGCCCGTGACACGCGGGCTCGTGTACTAAGGGCGCCTGGGTCTGGGTGGGAGCGGGGGGGGGGAGGGGGGACAAAGGGCCAGACGCCCCCAGCCTACTCCTTACCGTGAGCACTTGCGGTCCGAACATCTGTTTGGCCCTGTCAGCGGCCATGAGGGTGCCTGGGCGATTGTGTCCTCCAGGGCTCCCTGGGGAGGGACAGGGGCTCCGTGAAGCTGGAATGGGTGGCAGCGACCCCCAGGAGGGCCCGTTTGGCCACGTGCCCTCTCCACGCCTCACCCTGCATGCTGAGGAGGTGGGTTCCCGTGTGCACAGTCAGGCTCTGCTGGTACGCGGCGGACGTCAGAGTGGTCAGGTCGCTGGAGCGAGAGGCAGGCATCGTCACAGTCAAGGACAAGCGGCCCTCTCTTTAGCGACTAGACACTGGCCTTGTGTCACCCGATCCCAGTTACACCTGCCCCGATTTTACTCCTGGCCCTCCAGTCCCACCTCTGCTCCTTCCGCCTCCGTTTCTCTTCCTCGTGCAAAACTTTCTTGAGCTGCAAGAAGAGCTGATGCTTCTCCTCCTGAAGGGCCAGCAGCTTCTCCTGCAGCTTCAGGATCTGGGAGGCAGGGGGGCGGAGCTGAAGGGCAGAAGGGGGGGAGTGGGGCGGGGCTGTGGAGCTGGGGGTGGGGGGAACTTGCTCACCTGCTCCTTGGTCTCCTCTAGAGACATTCTCTCTTCCATCTCCTTTTTCTTCCTTCTCTCCTGCTCTTCCTTCATCTTCTGTTCCATCATCTTGTCCACCTCTTCCTCTTCTGGAGAAGCGGGCGGGCAGAGTGGGAACACAGCGGGGAGGGTAACGTGGCCCGCGATGCACTGAGGTCCAGCCCAGCCTGGCCGGCACAGTGCCCCCTGCCTGTGTCGGTGAGGACCCCCTCCCTCCGCCGGGGACTGGACGGTGGGTTTACTAGGTGCTCTCCAAGGTCCTTCCCGACCCAAGGGTTCCGGAGCGGAGACCCGGCCTGCGGCTCCCACCACGCGCGGGGCTGTCCCATCCTTCCTGCGGCGCGCTGGGCGGGCGGGGCTGCCCCGGGGCCCAGGGTCCTCCCGCTCGGGCCGGCTCACCTTGCCGCTTGCGCTCCCGCTCCATCATGATGTGCCGGTGCAACGCCCGGGCCATGGCGTTGGAAAGCTTGGGGCGCTCCAGGAGCGCGGGCATGGTGCCGCCGGGGGCGCTCGGGCCGCGGGCGCCCGGCTCTGTCACTTACTGCCAGACGGCGGACCGGGCCTATCGGGAGGCGGGCGCTCAGGGGCGATCGCGCCCGGCTCGCAGAGGCCGAAGCCCGCCCGCAGCCCCCCTCCGCCAGGCCGGCCCCGGAGGACCCCCCGTGTGCGCCGGCGGGCCCGGGTCTCCGGCCTCGGCGCTGCCCGCCCCCCCCCCCGCCCGCCGGCCCCTCCCTACCCGCCTGCTCTGCGCTTTCTCCGCGGCTCCTGCGCGCCTCGGCTTCGCGTCACATCCGGCCGCCCGGGCCGACTCCTTCCGGAGCCGGGGCGGCCGCCGGCCTCGCGGGTCGGGCGCAGGGAAGGGCGGAAGCGGCCGCGACGACGGGTGCCGGCGGCGGCCAAACCCCGTGGCCGCGGCCGGCGCCCCGGGCGGGGCGGGCCCGGGGCGCGCGGGGGCGAGGGCGGCGCGCGAGAGAGACAGAGGCGGAGGCGCGCGCTCCGGGACGGCGTTTATTGGCTGCTTGGAAACCCGCGTCCGTAACAACTGTACAGAAGCCCGCCTACCGCGCGCGCGCCCTCCCCGCCGCCCGGCGGCCCGGGAAGCGGCGGCCCGGGAAGCGGCGGCCCGGAGGGGGGACCGGGCTGCTCGGGATTCACAGTAACAGGAACGAAAACGGAAATAAATTAAGTGATACGGGGGAGGGAGTCCGGGGAGCCGAGCTCCCCAAGTCAGTGCATGAAAGGGCGGCTGTGGGGCCCGGCTCCCTCTCGACCGCGGTGCCGTCGGGGCGGGGGTGGGGGTGGGGGTGGGGGACGGCTCTGCTGCGGCGGGCGCGGGACTCGTGCTCCCGGGCCCCCCGCCGGGCCGGGCCAGGCCCCGCGCGTGCCCCTGCGGCGGTCGTGGCGGTCGTCACTGTCACTCGGAGTCCCGGGCCCAGGGCCCCACTGTGCTTGTCGTTGCCAGGCCCCCTCATTCCACCCGCACCAGCAGGGCATAGAGGAGCGTGGCCCCCTTCTCCTTGGTCACCCACTCGAGTTCGGCGGGGCTGAAGTGAGGGTCCGGAGGTTCTCTGAGGGCGGCCGAGGGGGGTCCGGGGGTGTAGGAACCGGGGCGCACGCACACCTGGAACGCCACCTGGGCCTGGTGCGTCCGCTGGGACTTGGGGTCCCGGAATCTGTCCGGGGAGAAGCAGAAATTACACCACGAGGCCTCTGGCCCCGCTCCTCCGCTGGCCAGCTGTGCCACACCGGCCCTGCAAACTCACCCCCATCCTGCGGGGGCCTGGCCCTCCCCTCTCCCCCCTCCCTACCACCTCCCACGAGGCCTGCACAGCCGCTGGGGGCTTCCCCCTCCAGGCGGTGGGCTGCCCACCCCGCTCCCCGTGCCCGCTGGACCTGCACTTCTGACCCACCACACCCCACTGCTTCCTTGTCACCTCCAACTAGAGGAACTGCTTCTCACACCAGAACGTTCTAGAGGGAGAGAAGACCCCAGTGGTGCGGGCGAGAGAGGGGAGGGCAGGGCACGGCTGTCCCGGCCATGCTCCCGGGGTACTCACTGCACTTTGGATGCCAGGGCCTCGGCCCCAGCGTGCTGCAGGGACGGGGAGAGCAGCACGGGAGGGGGCTGCTCCTCCCGGGGAGGCGCGCAGTTCTCGCCGGGCTCCTCGAACCCCACCCCAGGCTCACCCTTAAGCGGCCGGCAGCTCAGGATGGAGGCGGCGCCTGGGAGGAGAGCGGTGCTGTCAGGGCGCCCTCCCCGGCCGGCCCGGCCCCCACCCCTGCCGCCCCCACCCCACCCCTACCTGCTCCCAGCTCCCCTCGGTCCAGCACCCTCCGCACGGCGGCCACGTGGCTGCCGTGATACGCCATGTGCCACTTCTTGGTGAGCGTTCCAGCTTCCAGGCGGGGATTCACCCTAGGACGCGGACAGGGCAGGCTGGACAGAGGTCGCTGGCTCCCCGACACTGTCCCCTCTACAGGAAGTTCTGCCACATCCACACACCCCCTGGGGGCCCTCCTTCCTGGGGAGGGGGGGGAAGAACAGCAGGGGAGCCGTGCGACCCCCCGCGCATACCTGAGGTTGAACCTGCACCAGCCAAAGGGCAGGGCGTACTCCCGGGGGGGCTCCCCGCGGCGCCTGTGCGCCTCGTCGCCTCGCAGCTTCCGGCAAGACTCGCAGTAGCACAGGCTTCGCCTGGGCGGAGGCAGGAAGTAATCCTCTGCGGGAAAGCGAGGGGCAGGCTAGGTGCCGCAGTGCCCAGCGCTGCCCCGGGGGTCGAGGCGGGTCCTGGGGGCCCAGGGACTCACCGGGAAGCAAGAGCAGCTCCTGGAAGCGGGAGCAGAGGGCGTGGTACTCGCAGCTCTGGAGGGGGCTGGCGGCAGGCGGCGGTCCCCAGCACACGCCCTCCTTGATACCTGTGCGGGCGGGAGGCGGCAAGGTCACAGAGGCCAGGGCTGCGGCCGGGCGGG